ACACACACAGACAACCCCGTAACAATATGCGTTTTGTAGTGCTGTTACACAGCACAAAACGCATAAAAAAAACGGAGACAGAGCGCTTTTCAAAAATTAGTTTTTCGGCGATTTTCTTGGGGCAATATCAGTGCTCTTTTAGATATATAGACGAAATCAAATTTTCTCGCTCCAACTTCACTGATCACTTGTCTTCATCAAAAATAATACCCCTTGCAATGGACAAATCCTGTTACCTTTATCTCCGCAACATCCCTTCCACGAGTTGGAGTTTCGACATACGCCGAAATCTTATCAAACTGATATTCTGACGTAATAACGAATCGGAAACTCCGCCGCAACAGCAATTTTTCAGCATCATTTTCTTTTGGTTGCACTAGGCGATCTCCATTTTCGTGTGATACTACTGCCTTAAATATTTTTTCGTTCAAAATCAAACGATCAAAACCTGACTCTTCTGAGAGGAACATCAACAAAACGAGGGAAAAGAATGGCCCTGAAATGCCCAAAATAATGGCAGATACGAGGGAACAGAAGCACAATCAGACATTTTTGCAATGGGATTTTATGGATGCACAAGGAGTGCAAGCGTCGAAAGTGTCCAAAAATTGCGAAAGCAATATCAGAAAAAAGAATTTTTCGGAAGCGTCAAGTAGTAGCAGCTCCTAAAAAAAAGCAAGCAAAAAGAAGCCAACCTCGAAACTAAATGATGCGTTTGGTATTTCAATACCGCCATACAATACAGCAATCTGATGGAGGCCTTCCACGCAGGGTGTCAGCGTTACCGTGTAATAAGCATCATCTTTCTCGAGTTTCGTCACCAATTCCTTATTCGATACAATATTCAGTGCTCCCTTGCCTCCATGTCTAACATTTATCGTGAAAGTTCTTGGCTCTCCAATAAGCCAGTTTTTCTCAGCTGGCTTACCTGAAACACAAATAAATTGTACGGAGCAGAAAACCACAAATAGCAACATTCACTGAAAAGGTCTATCAGTAGTCCATCAAAGGTCTATCAAAAGACTCGCAATCCTGTGGCACACAAAATTTAGCACCTTCCTTCTCAGTTTTAGACAATTTAAAACTCCTTTGTTGTCAGCCCACATCCTATCCCAAACAATTATATCAACTGCGAACGAAGGGCAAGCTGAAGCGCCAAAAGAAGGAAAAAAGGAACAGTTGTTTGGCTCAAACAAATACACACATACTGAAAAAATACATTTACTGGCCTCACTATAGTTATGTAATTGCAAGAAGCAAACTTACTTTCCATAAAGCACTTGTCAGCAAAGCCCACCGGTTCAACTTGCAATTCGTGCGGTGCTGCGCTGGTCTGTTTACCATTTACATACACTAGGACGTAATATGTGCCTGCTCGTTCGGGCAAAAACTCCAGAATATACACTCCTCTGACAGCGGTTTGGGTGAGAGTTATTTTCTGCTCTTTACCATCCGGCCCCTGAATTGCGGAAAAATCCTGTTTTTTATCCATATAGAAAAACTGTGAAAGATTTGCCATTCCGCTCATATTTTATTTTTATATTAGCACTTCAAGGTGGCGAAAAAACTAGGTGAAACGCAAAAATTACGACATCCTGTCAACAAATAATGGAGATTGGTGTATATTTTAACACGAGTTTCATTAGATTTCGATACCGCGTATGTGCCTCTTTCCTGCCAGTTCATTGGCAGTACCAACCTCCAATCACT